CAGAGCACCAGAGGTGGACAATCCATGGCCTACAGGCTCATGCAGCCCCCAGTATACCCCCATCCCCACCACTGAATTTGACAGTGGCCAAGAAACGCCTTTGTGAACACCCTCAAATTGCAGTTTTAGCTGCTACAGAATGCAAAAGGATCAGATGAAGGTTGCAATCAAGTTATAGAGTGGTCCAGAGTGCTTTAAAAGATGGATACCCTACAACCGGGCAGGAATGTCTGCTTCAGTTCCCAGATCTCCAGCAGCTTCCCAGCCCATTCTTTGGAACAGACATTTTCCTGCTCTAACTCCCATTTCACAGAAAGCACAGCTCAGAGACAAGTCAGTCGCTCAAGAAATTGAGCACAAGGCAGAGTTAGAACCCGAAATGCCAAAACATCTATTTAGCCACACAAAGCAAACTGATGTTGCCCCAAGCACGTACACACAAACATCCCCAGGCAAAATACATGCCCTGTTAAAGCAGACAAACAGACCAGTTCACACGTACACGCCCTCACAGCCAAAACACAGGCCGTGGGGGAAACGCCCCACTGCGCCCTCTTACCATCCGGAGCTTTCTTTTTTCTCTCTTCTCCACCGCGCTGCAGCAATTCACATTTGTATTTTCTAAGTGGATACGTGTATGCTGGGTACCCAAACAATTTGGAGCTCAGACCCATAGAACAACAAAAACAACACAAAATTACAAAACTGAGGTATGTTCTAAAGTTTCACTCTCTCTCTCTCTCTCTCTCTCTCTCTCTCTCTCTCTCTCTCTGTGTAAGTGACGGCGGGAGGGTGGGTGTGTCCTTTAGAGGGCCTTGTCCCCTCAGGAAGAAGAGGTGTGTATGGCCAAGGAAGAGGAGGGCATTTGATTTCAGAAAAAAATCTTAGTAGTGAAGATGGGGGCCAGGTTCAAGCAGGAGATGCGGGATATACATGTAATCAATGAATGAACTGGAAAAGATAAACAAGCTCCTGGACTCAATGAGAAATTCCTTCTTTATTAGAGATAATTAGCTACACAGATCATTGAGTTGGTTTTCTTTTCAAGGGTTGTTGTTGTTGTTACTACTACTACTACTACAGTTTTAAACTGCTTAATAACCCAAGTTCTTTGGGTGGTTTACAGAGATATTAAAAATAGAAAATACCAGGAAATGATAAAATAATAACAGTCAAGCAGCACATGATATAATCAAAATAAAGCCAAGATAAAGCATAACAAGCCTTTGGGCTATTGGGCAGAATGAAAATGTATTTAATAATAAATAGCATGTAATGGAAGCAAAATAGAAGTAGCAACAAAGATAAACAGTGCAAAGCACCAAAACAGCTCATAAAATAGAAATTTCTTCATGTGACCTCAGAAAGACCATAATGTAGGCACAAGGGGAGCTTCTTCAGAGATGAAATACTACTCCTGAAAAGGATCTTGCAGCATCCGGTCCACATCCCGAGACTTCAATGAAGTGGTCTAAGTGAAACCACTCAAGGAAGGGAACTTAATAAGAGTCAAAACATGCATGCCAAATGAGTCAATTTTGCTTACTTTTCCAAAACTTTTCTAAATCAAGCCTACTCCCAAATCTTGGACTAGCATGAGATTAACACATAAATCCAACCTGTTCTCAAGCATGCTGCATTTTCCCATGCTGATAGCTTGGCTGATAGCAGTATAAATTGTATTCAAGAAGCAGGTGAATTAAGATCTGTGTATTATTAGTATGCTAAAACATTTATTGCCTTTCTTAAAACACACTTTGAAGTATAACTGCCTTAGAGCAAAATTACTCTCTCATGATGTTTAATTAAAAGTGCCAAGAAAAGCGGACATGTCACACAACCACACATCCCAGTCATGAGGATGTGTATTTACTTTGCCCAAGAGAAACACAAACTGGTATGTAATTTGACACAGGAAGACTGCCTGTAATTTCTTTGTCTCAAGTCAAAAGTTTGTGAGAAGAGGAAAAAAGGCACACAGTGTAGTTGCCAGCTAGACTAACTTTGTTATCGTCATAGCATATGTTATTGTAATAAACTTGAAATGAAATGAGGGTGGCAAAGGCAGTATCTTGCAAGCCAAGCTGAGTTTACTGAGCATGTAATCAAACCTCTGCAGGTGGAACAGTTCTCTGGCCCTGCAGTAGCCTAACCTCCCTTACAAGGTTGTTGTGAAAATAAAATGAGATGACTTCAAATACATTATGGCTTCCTTGGAGGAGAAGGTGCATACATACATACATGTATCAAAGACAAATAAACCTGATTTGGATACGCAAGTCTTTCTCCTGAAAGTACATGAAAAAGACCCATGAAATGGCCAAGTAAAGCCATCAGTATTTCGCTTTTGCAGGTCTTATGACTTGCTGGAGTTTTCCCTTCATCCCAACAAGCCCTGGCTCTCCACTTTGAAGTCTGTGCCAATCCCACAAACCTTAGTCGCAACACTCCATGCATACCACATGTGTGTGTGTGTGTGTGTGTGTGTGTGTGTAGATATACACACCATGGGGTATGTATTTTCATATATAGAGAGCATATTTTCTTCCCCCAGTGACTGCTGGCCAGGCCACTCACTGGAAAAACCCAAGACCAACTTTGCATTAATAGACTAAACAAGGCAGCACCTTTTCCTTTCAACTTTAAAAAAAGGTCTTGCCAATGCTAACTGTAGGTGTATAACCAGAGGGAGTGGGCCCTGGTTAATACTGATGGAATACTCCTGCAAAGAGTGGAATAGTTTTAAGCAATCCAGGAGATTCAGGGAGACTAGATGTCTTGGAATCAAGTCAGCTTTGGCCTATGTGATTTGAAGCTTCTCTCTCCAGTATTTGGAGCATAAAATCCTATCACTTCTGCCCAACTGTCACATCCAAGTAACCTTGTGCAAGTTACATAGAACTCTACACAGAATATATCTTAAGGAGCCAATTTCCTCCTCCCAGCACTATGATGGTATACATTAAGGCATATTAGTGCAATATTCCTAGCTAAGAAGGGATAGTTGGGAAATTTGATAATTTGTCTCGACAAATAATATGTACATACTCTTTGAGTTCTGGTACTGCAACCAAATTCTTGGCCTTACAATCCTTTAATTCTAAGTACCTGTCTTTTGCACCAGGTGCCAGTTGGTAGATCTGACCTGCAGCAAAGGAAACACACACCACCCAAAGAAGATCACACAAGTGTGACATCTGCCTGCTGCTGGCTTATGGGATGGCTGCAAAAGTTACATGATGGCTTGGGAAGGTTAGGCTGAGTGCATCTTGCGTTCAGAGCACAGGAAGGATCTGACCTCATGCCACCCTGCATCACCCTGGCCATCCTTCAACGAGCGAGGAAGCTGGGCCTGCTCCTGGCGTCCCTTTAGTCTGGAGAATGGCCTAGAGGAGAAGTGGGAAGGCTGGGGAGCTTTGCTGGACTGTAATTTCTTCACAGATAAAGGCTCCATCATCATTCCAATGCAACATTAAAACACACACACCACAAAGTTTGTAGAAAAGGTCACTCACCACAATCAACAGCTGGATCTCACAAGCCTCTCCTTTCTAATCTCGGACTATGTGGTCATATGTGGAATATGTAAATAACAGAGTTGCTGTTTCTCATACATTTTTCATTTTTCCAGAAAAAGCCACTGTGACCTGAGTTACTGACCTAAGCAAGGGTGTGTGGCAGATGCGTTAGGAAGAATCCAGGATTCTGAGCAAGCAAATCTGAGCACTGATTGTGTTGGGAACTTAGGGCGGGCCACCACTCAGTCTATTAATCATGGTTTTATATTCCACAAATTCCAGAACTGACACACTCAGACACATGAGAGGCCAAAGTGGGGTTATATGACAGCAGAGGCGCCCCGCTCCCCAACCATGCAAGAATGAGGCTCCTGTAACATCTATTCCTCTCCTGCAACCCCTGAACAAGATTTGCGCTTTCTCTCTTGCTTATGCCATATGGCCCAGGTTGCCTGACAGACCATGAACCAAAAAGCAAGCTTGGCCAAACTGGAATAGAATTGTAGGGCCCAGGAAGCCAAAGGCAAATGGTTGCCACACTTGCTAGAGTACATATGCCTATGAATCCAAAGTAGGTATTTCCTTTCCTGGCTGAGGGTTATGCTTCCAAGAAGCCCCCCCACCCCTGCCCAAACACACCCATTAAACTGGACTTATTCTGAGCTCAGGTTTCTACTGCAGGCTTCCCACCTCCTCCTACACACCATCTTAAGACTGTGACTAAGCAAAGCATGTGTGGCCACAGCATCAAATCGGATTTATCCAACTTTATGAAGTATCCTGGAGATCTCAGCTGCTTGTCCGCTATGTTCTAACATTTTAGTTACCAAACAGCAGGACTTTTTTTTTATGGACCAACACGGCTTTATTTTTAAAAAGTGTTAGTGGTACCACCTTAGCATTCGCAAGTGTGAACGTCTTATATTAATCCCAGCCTTCAAATCTGGGACATCCAAAATACAATTGTACATAATACATTCAGGCAAGCCAGAGCTGGAGGGCAGTCCTCTAACCCCCCAGGCAGCAGCTCCATCATCCACCCCCACCATCCCCGGTACGTCTACAAAGTGTGCTGGATGTGTCATATGTGATTGCTTAAAAGCTGGAGAAAATACCGGTGCTGATAAGCGACCTGACAAACTGGATATCCCAAAGTGTTTTTCAGATCTATTTCCTGTTGTGCAGAGTGGCACACAATTTGCACTCTTGGGAACTGTGGGAACAAGGCAGAACTCAAAACAACACAGCAGTTTCACTGTTGTTCAGAGGGTGCCATTTTTCCTCTGTGCTTTGATGTATATTCAGGTTCTGAAGTGAGATAGGGCCTTCCATGCTGGTGTTCATGTATTAAATCATTGGAAAAGAAGTCTGTTCTCCCTATTCTCCTTTAACTCCTCAGGGACAACAGATGGCAGAAGAGGGCTTGGCAACATATGATAGCAGCATCAAAGCAAGTGGCAAACTGAAGTAAGAGACTGCACACATAGATAGATGTCTTTTATTTCAGTTGTTCCTCACATAGGTAAGTCAAGAAAAGTTCAAATTTGCCATTTCCCAGGATGCAACCTTTGAGAGCCTTCATTTAGAATTTGAGCTCAGAAGGTTCGTAGGTCATCTTCTTTCTCTTCTTCTGTTAACAAAAATCACCTTGCTTCTTTTGAAGGCGATAAATAAATAAAGGACCAACATTATTTCAGGCAGCTGTATGTCTGCTGACAGCCAACTTTTTATGTTCGATCCCAACACTTTTAAGAATCCCATTTTAAAAATAATCTTGAATTAGTGACAGCTTCTGTTCTCTGCTTTGGGTAAGTGAGCTTGTGCTGGAACTGTCTAATACCAATGCTAACATGGAGAAGCTACTTGGTATCCTCAAAGTTAGGTTTGCAAGTAGAATATTTTAGGATTGACCAATATGCAAGCAATGCAATATACATAATACAGTACTCCAAGGGCAAACCACCACAAAATAATCATCAATGGCACATCCAGTGTATGTCACAGATTTAATACCTAAGCTAGTGTTTTATACCAAAAGAGTTCATATTTTAAAATCTTTTTATAATATATATTTAACATTTCAAATCTATAACACTTACGATCTGGATATACTATTGGTGGCAATTTTGTTTGTGTCTAGAGTATTGTAGGATCTGGATCTCAAAACATGAAGCAACTTTGGATTTTAAGGCAGAAATTAAAGGCATCTATTAGGGCATGTGTCACTGCAGGACACAAACACTCAAAACATCATGGTGTGCAACTTTGTTGTTCGTTGATTTGCAGATTTGTTGATGAAAAACAAGCTCATGCATCCACTAATCAACAAGGTATTAAGTGAAATCTAGAGGTACCTAGCAATATACCCTGTTTCTAGCATTTTAAGATGCTCATTTCCAAACAGAACTGGAATACAAGCATCTGGCTGGAAGATGGATTGGTATTTTGTGGAATGATACTACTCCTGTAAGTGCAGATTTTCTTATCACACACTCAAAGCTCATCAGTAAAGCAGATGAGCTTGAAGACTGACCTCAGGTTTTTCAGGGAAAACAAAACCAAAAGGACCAAATGATATAGCCAAGAATCTGCCCTGAACTGATTTTAAGAATTACACTCTGAGAGAGAGAATGGAGTTTCTTAGGGCTGGTTTACACAAAATTTGACAGCAATAGCGCTCTTGATTACTCGCAGAAGGTGAAAACTGGTTGTTACAAGTGCAATCCATAATGGTTTGAATGTGTGAGGAAGCTAAACGCATGTGAGATGGCCCTTAAGTATAAAGTTTGTTAAAAGGCACAATAGCTTCTACTGGGGCTTGGACAGCTGTAATGAAAGTCTGGGGTGCGAGCAACATCTGTGCTAGTTAACTCCAAGGAGGACAAGATAATCTAGTGAGACAAATGAGACACACATAACCATGCAAAATTCCTTTTTGTACATGCAGAAGCACAACACCCTTCTGCTATCAGGTATCAAACATCTCCTATTCTCTATTTCCCCTGAAGTACATTTCAACTGAATTTCTTTAAAAGACGGTCTTACACGATTGCTGGTTTGAGGATGCTGCCTGCAATCTTGAACACTAGCCACGTCTTTCAAACAGTATTAAATGATTTTCATTTCCTTGAAGTTTACAGTGAAGCTGTACCTGTGTCTTGGCTGGAGAAAGAGAGGCCAAGAAGATCAGAATGGTTACTCAGTGAAATCTAACAGCCCACATCCTTTTGGTTATTCATTAGCATAAAATAGCCAGACTTACTGGCTTTAAAACAGGATTAGGGTGATCCTGCATACATTTGCCTCCCCATCTGAAAAGCAGTTGCTGGAGTGGAAAAAGCAGATGTCAAGAGAAGATGGTGGTCTTGATAGCCTCCTGGGAGGTTTGCAGAAACAGCAAGCTGACCACCAGTGGAAGCGGCCTGGCAAAGCTATCCTGAAGTGGCAAGGAGTCAACTGGACCAAACTCCTCTCCCTCCAGCTTCTGTTGCTCTAAAGCACCATCCTCCTACCCAAGCCATTCCAGCTATTTGGACTACAGTTCCCATCCTCAGTGACATGGGCCATGCTAGCTGGAGCTGATGGAAGCTAGAGCACAACGACATCTGGAAGGACCCAGGTTGATCTCTGCACAGGGAGAGCAGAAGACCACCTGACAGGACCTATGTACCTGTTGTAAGCCATACAGGGAGCCCACTCATGGACTATGGTTGTGGCATATAAACTGAAGTCATAAATAAATAAAATAATGGAGAAGATTGGGAAACAGAGCAGGATTTCTTTGAAATTAAGCACACAAATGCCACATGGACAGCATCACATGTTAGACCCATGTTACCATGTGCTGTTTTGTTTACTGCTGCAACATCTGTGGCTTTTGACTTGTGCAAAGCAATACGGGCACTTGTTTTAGAAAAAGAGCATCAACACATTTTCCATACTATTTCACACTAAATATTTTTCAAAGCATTCATTAGACAAGCTGCCTACTAGAGTCTGAAAGGCTATTCACCATCCATTTATTTCAGGTTGGCTGGCACAAACAAACCAAGCCTTTCAGTTGCCCTGCTAAAGTTTTCTGCTTAAAAAATTGAGACAAGTCTGCAAACAAAAAGAAATGCAGCACTGGGGAGCCAGGGTCGGAAATCTAGTGAGATAAGGATGGCACTGAGCTGGGGTTTGTAGGCCATGTGCAAAAACATGAAGCCAAAAACACAAAAGTACAAACATGCCAAATAAATGAAGCAATATAGACTTGATAATTGCTCTGGCCTGTACCATTGAAATCCAGGGAGAAAGTCTTTCGTTTGCAGGGCTAGTGATGTGTGTTGCAGGGTGGGTTCCCCCACCTGTAAGGAGCTCCTGAATTACAATGACTTGAACATGCAGTTGCACAGCAAACTCAGTCATAACCAGCATTAAAGGCTCTGAAGTGATACAAATTGCAGGTAATTAAATGTCAGCAATCCATTCTGTCACCATATTATTTCAAATTTCCCCCATTTTTTATAAAGTATAATTAAATTGTGATCCCAAAATACAAGTGCAACACAATCAGCATGTTGTTATTACTGTTTAAAAAGGCACATATCTTCCTTGAAGAATCACAGCAGAAATTAAAATGCTACCTGCAATAATTGCGCTCATTCTCAAATTAGAGAAACAATTTCTTGCACAAAGTAAACTCCCAAGAAGTTCCACAATAGCAGTACAAGAAACTACTCCACTTTAATCCATTTATTTCACCTTGCATTACTTTATGAGTGCAGAAAAGAATCTACAATAATGCAGATGAGGATTTAGATTAAAATAGTTTCAGTGCATCAGGGTGTCCATGGTGAGAAGACTTCCCCAGAAGGATTTTTTTCACCTGTTCGTTCCCCTTTAATATTCCTAGTTTCTTTTCTTTGTTAGAGCCATTTTATATTCCTTTCTGACTTATGTCAAGTATACATTTATTGAGACATCTGGATATTTCTGATCCCAAGAGCTGCGGGAAAATTCAAAATTAGCAGTACGTTAAATGTACTGGCCTGCCTTGTTGTAAAAGAGGAGGCGGCTGCACTACTTTGCTACTCAGGCAGTAGCCAGGCACAGCTGCTGTGGGTTTTGAGGATGCTGCAGCGACTACCGCACCTGAGTGCCGAAGGACCTTTTCTGAATGATGTCACTAATCTTCAAAGAGTCCAGCAAGCCTCTGATTCTCTCACTGGTTTTTCCCTTCTGTTGTGTTCCCCTTCTGGCATTAGTAACTGAGGAACTGAGTAGGGCTGCCAGCCCCCAGGGCTGAGAATGGCTTGACGAAGGGTCCTTTCCCGCCTGCTGCAAAAGCCAGGCACTCTCTCTGGCCAAAGCGACAAATTTTTCAAGCTGCTTTACATTTACATTCTTGCTGATATTAAGGTTTTGTTCAAAGGGATTCTGTATATGGAGAGAAGATGCTTCAGGCTTGTTTTGCTCTTTCCCCTGCAGGTTTCAAGGGTGTGGGGTGGAGAGAGAAACCAAAATCATTTTGCTTGTTCATGATTAACTGTTTCAAGGAGAGCATAAACTATTGTGACCCTCCGAGAGCCCCAAATGTGTGATCCAGTCATCACTTAAGTGGGGTGTTCTGCAGGACACAGAAATTATGCTGTCAGGATAACTTAGAGGAGTGGGAGAGCAGGTCCAGACGTAACCAAGAGAGCCCACCGGTCGCACGAGAAAAGGAAACCAGCAACAGCCAAACACACGCACAGGATAAAGCAGACATTGACTTGTCTAGTGCAAGAATTGATGGGGTGCGCTCTTTAGAGAAGGGGTGTTGAGCCTCTTTCCATCGAAGGGCTACATTCTGTTTCGGGGGCACATTCTAACAGCATGAAGGGACAAAGGAAAAACGGATGGGGCCAATACCAAAAAGGACCCACATACTTGAGCTTAAAGCTCTTACTGCCAGTAACTAAGCCATAGAGAAGGCATTTCCACCTTTCCAAACATGGGAAAAATGCACAGAGGCTGGAGAACCATGAGCTGATTGGTGGTTGGAAGGAAAGGGGGCGTGGCTGCCTGGAGAACCCTGATGGGCCAGATTAGTTCCGAGAGCATGACATTCGGCACCCCTCCTATGGGAGGTATTTCCTCCTTTTCCTCCCACGTCCTCCATATGTGAAGAACACTCAGAGCTGGAGCCCTTGATCTGGCAACACAGGACATGGCAAGCATTTGCCTTAGATGCAATGATCTGAGAAAATAGTCTGCTGGGCTCATTCACATCCAAATGACTTGGGAGCAAACCAAGCATGGAAGTGTTCTCCATATGCCACCACCACAAATGCCACCATCCAACCTCATACATGCAGCAAATGTCCCCTCTCACCCAAACGATACATCTGGAAATGCCATAAACCTGTCGACTGACTCAGCACTGCAGCTGCAGGGCTGCCCCAGGGCATGGTTTGCTCATAAGCAACAGAGCTTCCCCCGCAAAGTGGAAAGAGCTGCAGAGTCCTGTTTCCATAGCAAAGCCTATCAGAGGCTACTAGTTTTGATGGCTGTGGATGACCTCTAGGATCAGAGGCTCTATGCCCGTGTACCCCAGTTGCTAGAGAATTTGGGCAGGAGGGGGCTGTTGTGTGAGATGGTTCATATCCTGCTTGAAGGAGTCTGTGGATTTGCCATTCTGGGAACAGAAGGCTGGACTGGATGGACCCTTAATCTGATCTAGCATGGGACTTCTTATGCTCTTAATTGTGTGTTTCCCAGTTCCAAAATCCAGCAATTTCCATACATAGCTTAGAAAATGATGGCTAAGGACGAAAGATGCAATCCTAAGGTGCAATCCTAAGCTAGCTGATGCACACTGGGAGTTGCAGGCATTTCCCCTGTTTAAGGATGCAGGTTGGCGCCCTAAAATGATTTTACCTTGCGGATATTCAGCGAATACTTATTAAAAGCGAAATTCCCAAAGAATTCAAATAAATCAGCTAGCAGATCATCTGAAAGACAAAAAGGAGGCAAACTATGAGGAAAGACACCAATGGTTTCCTTTGAGGGGTGAAACTATTTCCAGTTAAGATTCTTACCCAGTGTCTCTGTGTTTCGTGTGGGCTTAATTTTGTTCAAGTCACTAACAAAGGTACAGTCAAAACCTTCAATTACGTGCTTATCTTCTGTGTCTGAAAAATACACACAAAAGTTGTTTTGAAGTGTGGCATGTAGAAATGTGGTAGAATTTTACAAGCTCCACACAAAGCTACTTCACATAAAAATAATTCAGCAGCCACGGAAAGATATCAGCAGTCATGTGGTAGATGATCCTAGTTACAGTACATGCACCATAGAGTATGAAGACCTTTTAAGCACAGTAAACTGGCAATTAAATGCCTTAATGAGTAAGGGCAGCCTTTGCCAACATAGTGCCTGCTGCCAGACAGGGTGGACTACAACTCCCATCATCCCTGACCATGGCCTTACTGGCTGGGCTTTTGTAATTCGAAATGTTGGGTAAGGGATGGCTGGGTGGGCGTGATGGCAATGAGCCCTCCCTCAGAAGCTTTGAGATAGAAAGTCACACGGAATCTGAACAATTCTTATAAGTTGAGGTGGAGGTGGATGTCAGGATGCTTGCATTGTTTTTAATTAATGGGCCATCAATAACATGGCCAGTTTTCTGAAGTTTGGAAGTTCTAAGTCTTTCAATAGAGAACTATTGTCCTTTAAAAGCTGCTGGGAAATGTACAGCTGGTTTACTGATAGGCAAGCACCAGGCTTTTTAAAAGAACTCTTGTTAAGCAAAAGAAAAGGTGGAGCAGCTGACTCCTGACACTGCAAGAGTCACTCTTATTACTGGGATTTTTCTTCCAATAAACAATGCCTGCAAGCTGCCATTTAAAGCCAGGTAACTCTCTCTCTCTGTCCCTCCCTCCCCACCCCCACACACAGAGGGGGGTTAATATAAGCTAAACAAGCAGCCCCCAAATGAATTCTTCTTCTTTTTAACACGACTCATAAGTCATGATTAGTTCTAGTCCTCAGGGTGATTAAACTCTTCTAAGTTCATGTCTCTAGTCCTCAAAATGTCTCGAAGTTCCACTGAGGCAGGCAAGAAGCCAGAGAGCAAAACACAATCAATCTGCATGTCTGTTTTCAATAATCCAATAATGATTATAGGATCTTAGAATAGTATAGTTGGAAAGGGCCGAGAAGGCCATCGCCTCCAACCCACTGCTGTTGCAGGACACCAATTTACAGCATCCCACTCAAAGAATTGTCCAGTTTCCATGAGGAGGTAGAAACCCGAGAGCTCTTGTTCATACTAGCTACTTCCTTTCTGTGAGAAATTTTTGTCAGACAGCCAAAGCCAGTCCTGCTAGGCAAGAATCTTAGGACAAAGGTTGCATCAGAGAAGCAACAGTGGAGCCCTCCCTACATGTACACAGTATATCAAATGTGCACATGATGCTAACACATCTTGCCTTTGTAGAGCACAGTTCAAGTGTTCAGAGGGCTTCACATGCCCTTGCAAGTAGGCCTCAAACAGCTCAGTAATGCAGATCAGTATTATCTACATCCACAAACAGGCCACAGAGGCTGGAGAACTGTGCTCCAAGGAGCAGGCTCACTCCCTTGACTTTCACACAGTAAGAGCTTCCGCGTCAGGGCAACAGAAGTGTGATTTCCTAAAGCAATGTAAACAGGCGCCCCACTTCCAAGAGAGAGCAGAGTCAGTCCCCACTTTGCATTTTATACTTTGGCCTGTGATCTGCAGTCAAAATACATACAGCTACAAAATACATGCACACACTGACAACTCCCTCTTTCATGTTCTGTTCTGAAAAGGAGACAGAGCAATGCTTGAGAATGTGTGCCTTGCCATACTTGTGGGTGTTGCATACTCTGTGCTCCAGCAGTTAAAGGTAACATCAAGGAAGAGGTCTGCCCTGCTGACCTCCATCAATTAATCCAATTTGCTCTTACCAGCCAGTGCCTTTAGCTGATCCAAGGTTGGCACGATGGGAGGGTTTCTCTTTTGTAGAAAAAACAAAACCATCATTGTGAGAGAGAAATTGGTAATCCAACTTCCAGGAATGCTGCTTGTGATGTTGTGGGCCCGTGCCCAGCACCGCACACCGAAGACAAGTGCTTTTACACGTGGGTCAAGGTTGCCATAGATATAAAGGAGTTCCGAACTTCTCATGGCAATCCTGTTGGAGCAAAGGAGAGGCAAGGCAAAGGAGAAAGCATTTGCGAATGCCAGCAGCTGAGACCAACTGCAGCAGCAGTTAAATGTTTTGAGGCCCATTTTAGCTCTTGGTACAGGGAGTGGAAATAGTTGGAACCAAGACCTGAACACAAAGTACAGCTTTCCATAGGCTCTGGTAGAAGCCATTTGCAATACTGAGAACTTAAAGGGGCGTTCTAAAATAATTGCAAACAAAGTCTAGGCAACCACTGAATTACAACATTCTCTTAAAAAGTAATCACCTTATCTGGATACAGATGATCAGCAAAAAATAATAGGCACAAATGCAGCTCAGAGACCTAGGCTGTAACACCCCCTCCACACACACCGCGGGGGGGGGGCTGCATCCTCCATCTGGCACAGACTTAATTTCCTCTAGGAACTGTTGACAATAAGCTTGGTGAACAGGCTTTAGGGTCAGGCGGACACACTAGCAAAACAAGGGGTGTTTGTTGGGAGTCTTGCTAGAAACCAAATGGAGTGTAAGTGCAGCCTACAGCTGCCTCCTTCAGGTCAAAGCTATGAGAAATATAAGCAAGGCAGTTGTGGTCAGTTACTGTAGGTGAGGCTGAATTTGTGAATCAACACAGGCCTTGATTCTGGGCAGCCAACTCAGCATGCGTTCTGTGGGTGGGAAGTCTCAGCTGTACTCTGATCCACATTTTAAAAGGAACGCTCTGGAATCTACACCTAGTTTTGCTGGTTTATGGCTGAAGACATAAAGCTTGCTTATTAATTGACTCCAAAGTGAGTACTAAATTCCCCTGCAATGATGTTTTCTATGTGAATAACCAAATGAAGTCCACCAAAGCAGTTATTGTAACCCTGCCTATTCTGAGCACAGGCATTAGGTGTAAGCACTACAGAATCTCCCTAGAAATACAGGTAATAAATGGGACTCACAACAAAATGTTGCAGGGCAGAGTGCTTCTCTTCATTGTTCAAGCCACCTAGCCAGCCAGCCACCTGCACCCCATGTCATAATGCTCAGTTCCATTTCCCTCTCCCCACTTCCCATTTTTGCTTCCCAATAAATCATTCAGCATTCTTTAGCCAGTGAGTACATTCAGTCCTCCTGGGGCTGTTTTGAGGGCTTCCCCTTTGATCAGGAATTTTTCCTCCTTTGCAGTATTTTCTTTTGAACTTCTGCAAAGCTAGGGACTTTTTTCCTCAAGCTTTCCGATACCTTCCTCTTATCAATAGGTAGCACAGTTTGAGATACATTAACAATGGTGCTGAACATCAGAAGTAGAGGGAGAAAGTATGAGAGATGATGAAACAGCACCCCAAACAGAGGGCCCTGTGCTTTGTATCCCCCAAGCCTAACAGAGAGTCCTGTAAGAGATGCTCTTTCATCTCTTGCACACAGGCATAAGCCTCCCTGGCTCAGAGGACTGACGAGGGAAGTGGCAGAGGCCCTGCGAAAGCGCAGCAACCGCGTGCTTTAGGGAGGACTGAGGCAGGGCTCAGGCACCACTGATAAAGAGAGATGTGGAGAGCTTTTGCCTGACAGGGCTCACTGTGACAAGGGCTGTGAATTGCTGGCCCACAGCAGTTCTGGTCTAAGCCTGCCCAATCAAACCCCAAGGCAGGCATCTGTTGTGATTCATTATAAAGACAGTGATGCAATAGTCAAACTATTGGTATTCACTCCTAGTAACTGAGAAAGAAACATTCAAACATGAAATGATGTTCAAGGGGAAACTGGGGCTGCTATTCCTAAGAAAAGTGCCCCCCCTACTGGACGTTCTAGTGGAAAACAGGCTTTCCTCTAATATCTCAGCCAGTACATGATTATAAACCTATTATGCAAAAGGATGCAATTTGGTACCCTCCAGACATTTTGGACTACAATGACCATAATCCTTGACCAATGGCTATGTTAGCTGAGGAGCTGCAGTCCTAAACATCTAGAAGGTATCCAGGTTACATACTCCTGACAAAACAGCAATTTGTTAATTCAACTTTTTTGGGGATAGTTTAACATGAAGATCCAGCTTGTGCAATTTGGAAGAATGAGCAGAAAAAATATAACTGGGGTAACAAATCTGAGCTCCCTGCCTGTGAGTAAAGGCCATTTGCTCAATGTTTCCCTTGATGTATTGATTTCAAAACAAAACCTGCCTGGACTGATATGCAGACTAAACTCATGAACTTGAGTGGAATGCTCAGAAAGGTACCGGGATGAATCACCAGCACACTAAGCAGTTTTAGTGCTCTCTGGAATGAGCACACACAGACCAGGCATGCATGACCTACCCTGTTTATTACTGGAACCCCCAGCAAAGCTGCGTGCCTGGGCGTGGGGGAGACCTCCATGCAGAACAGCGGCTTAGCTGCCAAGCAAATGACCCCCTATCCCATGAGCCACACACTGGGATTATATACACATACACAAGTTCCTAAGCATTGCAACAGGGCAAAGAACCTAGCCACTTAATTCTGCAGGGATTGGGATGGGGGCGGTTTTGCTTGCAGCTATTCCCAATGACCACCTTAATGCAATTGTTCAGCAAGCCCTGGCTTGCCTTTCATCCATTCCTGCTCTAGACTTCTCGCGTACTTCTGTGACCCTGCATCTGCTGATGCAGCCATGCCCTAAAGCACTGCAGTGTGTTGCAGCTTGGCAGATACAGTGCTGCACTGGGGAAACTGGGGTTCGTACCACTAACCCAGCCACTGAGCTTACTGGGCCATGATGGTGACCATCTCTCAGTCTAGCCTATCTTGGAGGACTGTGTGCTTGTCCCGAACTCCTGGGACGGATGGTGGGATATCAGATTTAACAAATCAACACTTCTAAAAGAAAGCTTACCTATTGTTAGCTGTCAAGTCACACTGCAGTCCTGATGGCTGATGGGCGAATCTTACCAATGGACAGCGAGCATTCAGGATCTTTTGCACATTAACACACCCAGGGCCGAAGTTATCGATAAATTCACCAATCACATAAAGGATCCTCTGTGTTGCTATCCGCTGAGAAGGCACTCGCTTTGTTTGGTATTCTATTTTAAAGGGACCTGTTTTCTAACACAAAAGAGACAGGCACAAGTCACCAAAGGGGCTTGCAGATGAGGCTTTTAAAGTGTAATTGTCCTGTCTCAATTTGTAATCGTCCTGCATTTCCCCCTAACTTTTGGCTTTTTTCCTTACCAGAAATATGTGGTTACGGAGGAAAAGACAGGAATGTTGCGCAACATCTTTTCATTAACCGCATTAGGAGCCTTCTGTCTGGAAACAGAAGACCTCGGATATTTTGCTAGATGGGCTTTTTTTCCTCATCTAACTGGAGTGTTTTGGAGTGGCAGGAAGGACCCTGGAGAGGTGACTGAATAGCTCATCTGCTGACCTCTCCAGTCTCCTCCCTTCCCTGTCCATTAGAACACCCCTTCTTCTCTTCAAGGTTGCCTTCCCAGCCTTAGAGAGATGCTGCGATCCCATCCCCACAACTGGCCATAAGATGGCAGGATTCTGAATTCTGCTTATGGACCATGGGATGGCTCCCCATGCTCAACACCCATGTGCATGAATGAGTCACACACTGGCAGCTACAGCAGAGACAGCAGCACAAATACATCCACAGGCCATCTTGCCCAGCTGTAACTGACCTGCAGTTGACCAATGAGGGGCACTGTACTTCTGGACGTCAACCAAGGGAGGCAACCACAACCAAGTGTCTTATCACTGCCACTGCAAGACGGAGGGCACCTGGGCCTCCTTCTTCCTGTCATGAAAACAGGAGACAGCTGCCTGTACTTTGTGTTGCATTGCAGGTGGTGGTCACATCTTTAAAGCAGATGCACACTTTAAGAGTATGCAAGCACAGCAAGAGTTAAGTGATGTCCCTCTGGAGCTAAGCCCACTAAGAAGGTGTAATCCAGGCTGCAAAGCCTTGCCCATTTCCTCTCTGTAATTACAACAATCTTATCACAAAAGGCAATGTACACAAACCGGTGGTTTGTGGTTTGTCTTTGCACTTTCTTACGGCAATCCAATGAAAGCTGCAGCATTCAGCACAGCGGCAGAAAGGCGTCCCAGATAGGCCACTTCCTCCCTTCGTGCAATTGGAGCCGAGCGTGTTAGCCAACACAGTGTTCTTTCACCTCTGAAGACAGAGGCCTGTGCTGGAAATCTATTTCCTTTTCATAAGTGGGAAACCCCGAGCTTTCACCACCAGCTCAGGCTTTTCTCTCCAGTTAACGTGCTTAGTTGAACGCCTGTGCCTTGACGCAGCTTTCCTCCTGTGCTGACAGGGCACATGCTGATAAGGCCGAGCCTTTCATTAGGAGCAGTGCTTTAAAAGAGGCTCTGAAGTACATGCCTGTTAGAGTTGGAGGTCATGGCTGGTAAGGAGAGCTGCAGGCAGCCTCAGGGTCCCGCCCCTCCAACCTTCCCTCCAAAGCAGCCTTGAAGACTGCAGCAGTGTGCACTGAAGGGCAAGGGGCTGCAGCGGAGAAGGCCACGCCAGCAGAAGCCAGCCAAAAAGCGAGGGAACCTGACCATTTTTATAGGGCGATACAGCTCTTTCCTGTTGCATTATTAGGAAGAATGACATTTGAGCTTATTGGGCACCAGGTGGAGGTGGGAGAACCCAGGACACAATGCTAGGAAGAAGTCAAAGCTGTCCGGAGATGCATGCAGCACCAGAGTAACACGATATAGTTGTGATTTTCATGTTTCAGGAACTCATAATCTTTGGAATTCTATAGTAGGGTGGAACGTCTGACCTGAGGGCCCCCTTTGCCTACCACACCACTTCCCACCCATCACCAATGGTTTGTTGGCTTCCCAGGTTTTGTGCAGTTACTTTTATCCTTCTAAAATAGCTGAAATGCCTCTCCTAAGGCCTATGGACTGGCAGCCCAAGCTTTACATTACGTCAGTACTTATAGGATTTGGGGCCCCACCCCTCACTTCCACCTTTGGTCCCACCCAACCAGAGCTTCTATGAAAGGGGATTCAGCCCTCAGGCTTTAAAACTCCTGTTTTACAGTCTGGGTCAAAGGACAGCTCTGTGGCAGATGTTATTAGAGAGAGTCTTTACCCTTTTGATAATGCTTTTCCTGCATTCATCCATATCCAAAAACATGTCCAAATCACATCCCAGTTTACCAAAAGTGTTCACAGAAGAGCCGAAGGGCTTCACAGTGCAGCCCGGAAAATAAACACCTGCAATGTCTTGAATTAAAGAACAAGCCAGAAACCGGAGTTTAGTGTTTTCTTCTGTCAGCTGATAGTTCTCTGTGAGCATATGCAACTGGCCACTCACCTGAACAGCAAAAAAGATGGGGGAAGGGGGAGAAGCATCCTCAGATTACGTTAATTTTAAGCGTCTAGCAACATTCCCCAACAGAGTACCCACCAAATGATTTTGACTACAACTCCCATCAGATCCAGGCAGCATGACCAGTGGTCATGGTCGTTGGAGTTGTAGTCTAACACATTTGAAGGCATCAGATTGGGGGGAAACCAAACTGGAATGTATCACTTCTAAGACCTGTTAAATAATTGCATGTCTACAGGAAATAAGCATAGAATTTACAGTAAGGGAAGGCTAATCTTTTCAGAACCATTTTTAAAATCCATCTTCAAGGTATGTTAGGAAGGTGGCTAAAAGCTTTATCATCTAGAAAAACAGGGATAGGACAGAGTCTAATGAAAACATCCTTGCTTTCTGTACTTGGTTCAGTGGACATTAGGTTCAGAAAAAGTGGAAACAAATTTATAGACAGCCATTTCTATATATTCCATTTTTTTAAAATCCTATTGATAATCCTGCTGGCAGAATTCTTGCATTGTTCATGCATTCTGGTGTTTGCCAAAAATATTGTGCCCATTTGAGGGTAAAAGGAATAGCATTGGTAAGCCATCCCAGTCCATTGACACTTCCATCCCTATTTAAACCCTCCATGATCCAGGTCTGCCATCCCTAGTTATCTGTACCAACTAAGATGCTGAACAAATAAGTACAGATTTCACCAGGAAGAAGCTCTAAAAGATTTTTCAATCAGTTTTTCAGTTACATATCCAACCCAAAAATAAATGGTAAATAAATAGTAAGAGGAACTATACACAGGAACTTACACTGTCAGCACTACAAAGTTTCTTTACCAGCTCTCCATCTGGAATTGGAGTTTGTTTATGACAGGAAATCGACCTCAGTGCAGAAGCTTGGCTACGCAGATCTTTTGGCGTCAACGTAAAAATCCGAGATTTGAATGGAACAGGACACTCTTCCACAAACTCTGGAATCCCTGTGGCATTCTGTAGCGAAGCTATACTTCCCTTCTCAGAAAACTCTATGACTGCGTATGTACCCTGAATTAACATAATAAAAAGGAACAGTAGCATTTGCATTAAATATGAGCCACAACAGATTACAGCTGAAAATATAGGTAAGATATTAAAATGATCTTTTGGAGCTATAGCAGCGGTGATGCACTGAGATGCTCTTGGAGCAGACCAATTATCTGGACCCATTTCAGTTGAGGCTTGGTCCCAGCTTGCAGTTGATGTTCAGGCAAAGAAACAGCTTTGGTCACCCTGTAGGACCTAGGCAACCCTGTTTATGCTTCTGGGCTTCTCAATGGCTTTCGACCATGATCTCCCTCTGGGCTGACCAACTGAGCTGGGAATGTGGAGCACTGCTTTGCTGTGGTTCCACTCCTACTTGGTGGGCTGGCTTCAGAAGGTAGTGCTTGAGGAATATTGTTTGAGCCCATGGATTCTCCAGCATGGAGTTCCTCAGGGGTCTGATGTGTGCACCAGGCTGTTTAACATTTACATGAAACTGCTAAGTGGGTCATCCAAAATTTTGGAATGTGTTGTCATTAGGAAGCTAATACCACATAGCTCTATTTCTCCTTTTCATCTTCTGCAGGTGAGGCTATCAATATGCTAAACCATTATCTGGCTGTGGCAATGGACTGGATGAGGGCTAACAAACTGGAGCACAGTCTGGACAAGACTGAGATGCTGTTAGTAGATGGTTCCTCTGACCGGATAGAAAGTACTCAACCTCTTCTCACTGGAGCTGCACTACGTTGAAGAAGGTGCGTAGCTTGGGGGTTCTTTGTCAGTTGAGGCTCAAGTGGCTCAGTGGCAAGGGAGTGCCTTCTACCAGCTTTGGTTGGTGGCTCAGCTATGCCTGTAACTTGGCAGGGATAGCCTGGTTTCAGTAATCTATCTCTGGTAACCTCAAAATTAGATTATTTCAATGGTTTACATAGAGCTGCACATGAAGACCTTTCATATGCTGCAGCTTGTGCAAAAGGTGGCAGCCAGATTAGTAACTGGGTCCAACAGGGCTGAACATCTAAAAGGCCAGTTCCGGTTGCCTGAATGCTTCTGAGCTCAATTCAAGGTGCTGTTTTCAATTCAGAAATCCTTACGTGGCTTGGGACCACAACACTTGACCGCCTCTTCCAGCCATAATATGTTCAGATGCTACTTCTTCCAAGTGCCCACTGTGACAGAGGCTGACAGGGCAGCAATAAGAGGGAGGGCTTTCTTTGTGGTGACTCCCCATTTAAGGAATGCCATCCCCACTGAAGCTCACCATTTGCCAATCTTGTCATCTTTTCAGCACTAGGTTAAGATGCCTCTTTATGCTTTAGAGATTTTAGAGATACATTTGCATATTCAAGAGTTTGAAAGGATTACTTATTTCAGATGCTTTTACAGGCCTACTCTTCACTGTATCTGTTTATTTTAAAAAATGTATTTTAAAAATATTTTATTGCATCATACTGTTTTGTTTTTATGAACTGTTGTAAATCTTCTAGACAGCTTTGACTTTTGGATGGTAAAGAAATGCAATAATATATAAATAAAGTCCCAGCAGACTTAACCAACACAACTAATGGTGAGGTTGAAGTTCAACAAACTGAAGGGTTTCAAGTTGCACATTCCTGGCTTTGTGTTATAGCAGAACTCCAACAACTGACCAAGAATCTGCTTAATCTACAGTCTTCCCTGAGACTGGACCACCATGGAGAATGCATCCCATTCAGCCATATATCCAAGCTGTATATTTTACATGTGGTGGATGCCTTGGAATTCTTGCAAGGTTGGAAGGCTGTGCAAAAATATACCAAATAAATAATATTCAATTAATATATTTCAACCAAGATGGCTTTTGGCAAGATCCTGAATTCTGGCAAAAGCTTCCCACAGGGGCATAGTTCTCTGTGCAACATTAACAAAACAAAATCACCTTCAAAAGCATAAAGGAAAAACCCACCATCACTGAAACTTGAGCATAGTCTTTTAGCCTGACATTACACTACAATAACAATACAATAGCTCCTTAATTTAAAAAAATACATTGCTTGCTTGTGTTGTCTCTTTCTTTGGCCAAGCAAGATTGTTAATATTTGTACTGCAAATAGGTTATTGTGAAGGCAAAGTACAAATCCAGACAGATCCATTTATGTTGTTGTTAGTCGCAAAGTCGTGCCCGACCCATCGGGACCCCATGGACAACATTCCTCCAGGCTCTCCTGTCCTCCACCATCCCTTGGAGTCCACCCAAGCTCACACCCACCGTCCCAGTGACTCCATCTAGCCACCTCTCCTCTGCTGTCCCCTTCTTCTTTTGCCATCAATTGTTCCCAGCATCGATCCATCCATATGAAGACTCATATATTTTCTAAAGCCTTTTACTTATTTAAAGCATTTATATATGGTTTGATTAGCATAATGCTCTCAAAATGGTTTATACAATATTATTAGGTTCTTCACATCATAAGAAGGTAAGGCAGGACTCTTCAAAGTAGACAATAATGTTAGGGAAAGTCGAAGGCAAAAAAAGAAAAGGAAGACCAAAAAATAGATGGAGAGACTCCATAAAGGAAGCCACAGCCTTGAATTGAGAACAGCTAAGCAGGGCTACCATGGATAGGCCACTCTGGGGGACTTTCATTCATGGGGTTGTGATAAGTCATGGGGTTGTGATAACTTGATGACACATAACAACAATTAGGTTCTTATGCCACTATGGGAAGAGAGGTATAATGCATCTAATTCTAGACAACTATAGCTTATCCACATAGAAAGTGGATTAAACTAGACTGACTTTTACACTAAGAAAATGAAGAGATTTTCATCAAAGCAGCATGCTGAACTCACTGAATACCTTTCAGGCACTCTGACACTTCAAGGACATCTTAAAAATTTGATTATGACAGGAAAAAAGACAGTAAGTAGCAGGATTAAAATAGCTTTGCAAATCCTCACCATGACAGACAGCAGTTACCTTAGCTACAACAGTATTCTGTAGAACAGATCCTTGACAAATATGACCATCAGAATGACCTGTGACTTTACAAAGTAAAGAACTTTATACTTACCTGGTTTCACTGAAGCAGTCTTCAGAGAAAAAAACCCCATTTGTAATTTCTGTACCATCCAGATCCACACAAAATACAAAATGCAGACTGCTTCTCTTATACCTATCCATTCAGAGTTTTTTATATACCCCACAGAGTTTAGAGCTCCATTGCTAACACTCCGAATACTTACACAGGTTTCATAAAAGAAGTGATTCTTGATGTTTCCGTGAGATGATAAAAATTTGAGCATTTTTTTCTCATTGATACTGGATGGGCAGTTAATTAACACTGTCCTCTGTGCTTCTTCTTGTCTTTCCGCTAGTACTTCACTAAATGTCTTCTTTCTGTGGCTAATTGTACTATCTAGAAGGGAGAAGAAAAAGAAATATTTGAACAAAACAATTTGGCTTGTGTCAGCAAGCTTTGCAAGCTGACATTTGTAACTTTATTTTGAAAAGGCAAACACCAGCTGACACGTCCCCCAAATATATTAACATATGTCTCTCCCTCATATTTGTCCATATTTCATGAATCCTAGACCTGTCTGACTTTATGACTTTGGAGGTGCCCAACAACCTAACAGTTCTGCATACAGTATTACACAATGACACTGGAAAAGCCCCCATCTTTGGAACAACCTCCTTCCAGCAGCCCACCTGGCACTAAATTTGCCATCTTTTCAACAAGGTTAAGATAGTGGGGGTCTTTAAAGACCATTCAGAAGCCTAATATGATCAACCAAGTTGCCATATTTTTAAGTTGTCTTTTAATGTTCTTTTATGCTATTTTAAATTAATTTTAATTCTTAATATTTTATATATAGTATTTTATCATTTTTATTCTTTGTTGCAAACCACACAGAATGCTTCGGCTACCAACAGTAGAGAAATAAACAATAATTCACAAGAACGTTCACAGGAAGTGTCAGGTTCTATGGGAAAGCATGTACTTCTTAATCACTCTGAATGAACAAGAAACTGTGCCTCTAGGGCACAACTAGGGACTAATCCATCATGTATGTCCCTGTCACACATTCTGCAGCATTATACCAAGTGCTTGGGGTTCTTTTTCTGCACAAGCAGACTTACTGGAGTTCCAAACTTCACAGGATCTTATACGAATAGGAAATGCTCTTGGCTATAAGACCCAATTTAAGAACAGCATTCAGGAATAGCTGTGGGGATGTGTAGGAAAGGGCAGAGTTGTTGGGCATGTTCCTCTTTGCATTCTGGTAAATGATGGGAGAAGGAAGATAATGGTTGAGTCGCTGAGTAGACCTATTATGTATCTCATGTAACTTCTGCATCACTCCCACTTAATTTGATACTGATCAGAAATAATGGCATAACTGACCTGCTTAACTCAAATATACCTGCTTAAGTACACAATGCTCAAAATGAAGACCTGCTTAAAGCAGTCAAATTAAACTACTTAATTTGCAATCCTATCATCCGCACCCTGGATACTTGTGCACCCCTGAATGTGAGGGCTTCTGAACATCCAAAACAAAAGTAGCAAAAGGTTCTGTAATCTTTGCCTCCCTGCTTTGCCCACTTAATTTTAGTTAGACAACAACCTAACTGAGGCTTTTTTAAGAAGAGTAAGAGGTGCACCATCATCAGAATACGTCTGGGAGTCACCCTGTAATGGCTCCTTTATTTCCCCTCTGAGGTTGATTTCCTGATCTTGAAGAAGTAGCCAGCATGGATTTTTCTGCACTGGCTGTAAGTGGGGAAGAGAGATATGGAGTAGAGATTTCTAGCTCCAAGCTCTGTCTTCAGATTTGGGAATCCAAATTGTCCCATGGATCCCCAGGCCCTATAGTCAAGGGACTATAGAATTGCTTTCCAATGTGATGAAGGGAAAACATAAGTTAGCTGAAAATGTTTAGACTTGCCTTTCTATACACAACAAAGCCTTAATACTTAGTAGGAGGAAAACCTTGATAAGTAAGGGTGAGGGGGAAGCAGAGTTCCAGTTTCTGTGGTTTAAGAACCTTATACAAAAATACTCATGCAGCAAAAACCCTTTCTCTACAGTTCCTTCACTCTCTCCTAATCTGACCCACTATGCCAACACCTCCATCGAATGCTCATTCCCATAACCAACTACACCAACAGGGAGAATGAAGCTGAAGCGCCTTCTTAGCAATTCTGAAAAACTCAGTTGATCCATCTCTAATACAATGGCACACCAAACTTTCTAAACCACGTGCCCGCAGCTGTGATGCACGACAACTGTCAGCATCCTGCGACCACCAATGACTGCGGATGCTGGGAGTTGTAGTTCAACCATCTGGAGTGCGCTAGGTTGGTGAATGGTGATCAAGAGATTCCCCTCCCCCAAGCTATTTAATAATCAATAGCGTTTAGGGGGAAATTTCTTCTCTTACCCGTCGCCACCTCTTTATCGGGGACTTGAGGCTCGCTCAATGCAGCTGCTGCGGCCTCTGTGGAGTTAAAGCGGACCTCGGCGTCCCTTAGCTTTGCTCCAGCTCGGCGGAGAAAGCGCCACCCGCGACATTGAAGCAGCAGCACAGGAACCCACCCCATGGGGGCCGCCATTGCTGGAACCCGGGAAGAACAACAGTGCGCCTGCGCCGCATGACTCAACCGTTACGGGACGGTGCGACGCGTGGACCAATATTCCTCGTCCTAACGTGAACGCTTCTCAATGAATGAATGAATGAAGGAAGGAAGAACTGATAGACTGGATGCATTTCTGCTGGGGTGCGGCGGGGAAAAAATCCGGTTTTCTGGTTCATGCGAAGGGTAATAATTGACCTGTGTGGAATAAAGGAATCGCCTGGCTGGATCCATTGAAAAGTTCATCCGTTTTCCTTCGAAGCACAGCTTGATGGGAATATCCACTGTCCCAGCCTTCTGCCGTCGGATGCCTTCCAGATGTTGAACTACTCCCTGTATCCCCAACCAATGGCTAATAGCTGTTGCTACTCCTGCATTTGTCTGTCTAACAACAGGCTGGTGTAGTTACGCGCACTTCACATAGATCCTCCCGTGATCGTTGCTGGCAGCCCTGCTGCGCAATACGAAGGGAAGCTTGCTTGAGCGTAGGCACGTGGCATCCACCGAATTCATGCCTGAGCTAAGACCTGAACCGCGCGCCGCTCTTAAGCACTGGTCTGGCGCCGCGGCTCTTAAAAAGCTAGTGGTCGCATCCCCTCTTATGTTATCGTTCTGTACACTTCTTCTCAGGGCTTTTTTTTTTGTCATAGAACGCACTGGAACGGCGTTCGGCACCTTTTTTTCACGGATTTTTCCATGTGATTGTGAATCGCCCTGTCGGGCATAGCAGGTCGGCAGCAAAAAGCATTAAAATAGTGCCTGCGGGCTGCGTGTGCGTCGGCGCTGCTCGGGAGGGCGCTGCTCGGCTCGGGACGCGGCTCGGCTTGGGATCGGTCGCGCGGTCGCGTGCTCAGTGCCTACTGCCGGCGGCGACCATTATGTTTGTGTGTGTGTAGAGTGACTGACCCCAAGAAGTGAGTTTCGGCACCTTTTTTTTTTTTTTTTGCAAAAAAGGCACTGCTGCTTCTCCTGTTCTGTATTTTATATTAGTTGGACTGTTTGCTGTATTGGATGTAATAGTTTTAATCTTGTTCCGCTTTTATGGTTTATGTTTTTTATGGTTTAAATGTAATAAACAAATCAAATGAGGTTCAATCCTATGCATGTTTAGACAAAAAGTCCTAGAACTCCCAACATGCTAGTAACTGTAGAACACTTTTTCTGTGTAAATAGGTCTAGTATTGCACCCATACGTTAGTTGATATCCTGTTTTAAGGATGGGGCCAAACTGCTATTGTGTTGTGTTCCAATGGGTCAAGTGCAGCAATCCTAATATTTATTTATCTATCTGTCTGATTTCTAACTCATCCCATTATCCATACAGCTCCCTGAGTAGGTTACCACAACTATAAAACCATATAATACAATATAAAAACAGATCACAATTTCCAGTAAAACATTAAAACAACAAAAAAGGGAAAAATGGTAAAAAAGTGCATCCACCTAAGATTACAGGTAATTAGTTTTTGAACTGATCATGGGCATGTTTATTTATGCATAGGTGTCTTAAAACAAGTGCTTTATATATACACATCCCCCAACCTGGCACCCTTCAGATATATTGGAATGGTGTGCAGGCTGAAAATGATGAGAATTGTAGCCCGATATGTCGAGGGCTCTGTTAGGTACATGGCAGGCTGCTTTTTCTGATGGCCTGCATTAAAATGCATTCACACAAGCAGTTAATGAACACTGCACACCTAAGGACCTATGACTTTAGCATGCAAATCCCATCAGGAGGGACTCTTGGGTTGGGGTGTGGGGAGGGGAGAGATTTCTTAGGTGGCTTAGCTGGAGATGGCTTGATTGCTGGCCACCAAGATAGTCTTCCAGAGTTCTTGTCTCCCCTGAGTTACTTCTAATGCACTTGGAAAGTGCCACACCACTGTGGGCATTTTCTTACAACTGTTTATGGAATAATTCTGTGCATGTCTGCTTAGAAGTAAGCCAAAGGATAAGTTATAGGGAAAACTCCAGATTCTTAAAATGCACACTGATTTCCATATGTTTAACACGTGCAACTCAATTTAGTGCCTTGACCTTTAAATAACTTGAAAATCTAAAGGCATTTTAAAAGGAGCCAAGTATTTAAAGCTCAAATGCCTTTAAATAGCTCTTATCTATGATCACTGTGACAGGCGATAAGAACTGGGTTTCCCTGCTTAGTACTGAAGAAAGCTCCTTCCTCCTCCTGCCCCTGTCTAGGTTGTTTATCAGCTAAACTGTGGAGACAAGTGGGTGGGGAGCACCCAGTCCAGGACTGCATGCAAGTCACTGGTTTTGCCTTCTGTGTAATCAAGATAGAGGACCTTGCTAAATCAAACTCCTTATCTATGCAAGCCAGTTCAGCTGCATCCACTTGCTATCTTGGGTCAAGTCTCTTGTCACAACAGAGCCTGTATAGCATCCCAGCCTCCCCCCCCCCCCGCCGCCCCCCAGTGTGAGATAAGAGCCCTGATTGTCTTCTATTGATGAAACCAGGATGAATCAGGAACCTGTGATCATCCCAAGGACTGGCGCTCACCTCACTTTACTCTTTGATTCACACTGGTGAACAAATTGATTCAGCGGGGGCTGTCCAAGACAGTTGACAGTATCGCACACAGTTCCTGAACAGGCAGACATGGTCAACCACAGCGGGGTTTCCAATACGGTGCCCAAAGAAACCTCTTGCGCTACTCTCCAGGCTCCTTGCCTTTCCTGATTTGTACTTCATTCCTTAAGGGCACAATCCTGTGTTTGTTTAAGGTGGAAAACAGTCCTAGTGGTACTCTCCAGATTCCTTCATTCCAGGAGCTGCAGGGCTGTTTGCTGTCCAAGCAAGCACCAGATTTTGCCCTAAAATGGCTTTTACCTGGAGATCGGTATGTTGTGTAGTGAACTGCTGTCCTCCAATGTTATCTTTCCATTCCAAGTAGTGTTTTTTCCTCTGTTTCAGAGCCCACCTCTGCCTTGTACAGTGGTTACGTTGTTGGACAGGCTACTTTTATTTTTCTTTCATCACTTTGTTTTCTGGGAAATGAGTGCTTTGTGACCAACCGTACCTATTTTGGTAGCCATTATATGAATGGGCAAGCTCCTCCCCATGGTGGCCATTTTGTGAGAGCACCTACAATGATCTCTAAAAATTCCAACAATGCCCATGTCGTGTTTGCACGTGTCATGACATATCCCAAAAAGCACACCTCTGTGCTATCAGCCTTCACTTTAAAACATAAAGGCAAACATTTGTTGGCCCAACTTTTAACAGTGTGCAGGGCTACCCCAGAGACTTGCTGTTTGCAGGACTAGAAACTTGGGACTTGTCTTGATAATGCATAATGCAATCTCCACCCAGTGCTTTGATGCCTGCAGAGTCAAGACTTTGGTATTTAGGTGAGCAATCAAGTGATCCATGTGTCATCATGTTGTCGCACTAGGAATTGGGCAGTCTCCCACGATCTAGTGGCAAGTACCAGGGATAAGCAGCCCTGTGCAATGAAGATGTTGCACTCCATCTTCTACAACTCCACAAATCCCCAACCATTAGTCATACCAGCTGGAGATGCTGAGAGTTCCTGTCCAACAAATCTCGAGGGTGACATGCTGCTTGTCTCCAGAACACACAGTGTAGTTGTTGGGATACCCAGGGGTCGGCAACCTTTAACACTCAAAGAGCCATTTGGACCCATTTCCCACACAAAGGAAAACACTGGGAGCCGCAAACCCCTTTTGACATCTAAAATGAAGATAACACTGCATATATCATTTTTTTTACCTTAATGCTATGTATATCTTCATTATGATTTAGCTGCAGCTCTTGTTCAGTCACTAAAAACTGTTATTTTTAATTTTACATTATAAACTAGTAGGACTCCTTTCATATATTTTGAATAGGAGAACAGCTTCCTGCAGAGTCAAAGTCAGTGCTAAAGGGCTGCATGCATTAAACAGCAAACCCCATAAGTTCGTCAGCAGTAAAAGCAAATGAATCTACCCACTATCATTTGGTTTTCTTCAGAAACTTTTCTTATCATTTAACTTTTCTTAACCATTTATCCATGGTTGGCCTACGCAGATCAGTGGGAAGATATAGGTGTGTTTAGTGACTGATTAGCAGATAAACAGTCAAGTGCTGTGAATTGTGACAGGTCCCAAGTGCAGCTTTTAACATTCAGATGAAGGAGATTACATTGGGACAAAGAGAATCTTTTCAGCAGGGTTTGAGTAACATGAGAGCCTGCAGGAAGCTTGTTTAGCAGAGGAATGTAGGAATTTACTTAACTAGCTAGGCTGTGTTCCTGAGTGGAGCCTCGAGCAGATCAGCGGCTATGCATGTTTTGAGCGATGGAGCCGCAGCAGAGAGGTTCAAGAGCCACGTGAGGCTCTGGAGCCGCGGATTGCCGACCCCTGGGATATCCAGATGTAAAGCAAATAGCACTACCGCTGAGAAGGCCCCATGCAGCTTTATGTTCCTCAATGAATGTTCCGCAGTAACAAAAAGGACAGAAGAATTGGTGGAAAAACACGAGAAGGTGACAAGTGGAAGATCATGTCATCTTGATCTTTTTTAAAATTCCTTAACCAAAGCAGGGCAACAGCTCAATAAATGCATTGTACTTGAAGTGCTCCACATCAAAATTGGGACCCTCAAAATGAGTTCAAGGTAACAGAGAGAGAGAGAGAGAGAGAGAGAGAGAGAGAGAGAGAGAGAGAGAGAGAGACCAAGCTAAGGAGAAAATATGACACATGCAAATTAGTATTACATTGCATTTGAATCCCACCGTTTTCTTGTGAGGAACTCAGGGCAACTTACACAGGTCTCCATCTTTCCTTTTATCTTACAACAGCCCTGTGAGATAGGCTAGCTAGGCAGAGAGCTTGTGACTGGCCCAAAGCTAGTGGCTCTTATCACCGAATGGAGGTTAGAAATGGATTTCTGAGTCCCAGTCCAACACCACTGGCTCTCAGATGTGATTTTCCTTCATAATAGCATTATCTGGTTATGAATTAT